CAAAAAAAAAAAAAAAAAAAAGACGAGATGAGAAGAGACACAGAGACACAGGGAGGGAAGATGGCCACGTGATGACGGAGGCAGAGATTGGAGCGACGCAAAAAAAAAAAAAAAAGAGATGAGAAGAGACACAGAGACACAGGGAGGGAAGATGGCCACGTGATGACGGAGGCAGAGATTGGAGCGACGCAGCCACAAGCCAAGGAACACCAGGATTGCCAGAAGCCACCCACAGCTGGAAGAGGCAGGAAGGATCCCCTCTTGCAGGTTCACAGGGAGCCAACAACCCGCCAACACCTTGATTTCAGACTCCCAGCCCCCGGAACTATAAGAGAATAGATTTCTGTTGCTCTAAGCCCCAAGGCTTGCGGTACTTGTTCCAGCAGCCACCGGACACCGATGCAGCGCCGTCATCGTCTCCTCCCCAGCTGCTCCGAGGCACTCTGCTCCATGAAGCTCTCCGGAGACCTCGCTAAGGTGTTTTTGCAAAGCTGTGGCCAGCGAGGCAACATGTCATCTTATACCTGCTCTCCCTCCTCCCCACCTGTGCAGGCATGAGATGGCCCCAGGGCCCCCGTCTCCTGGCATTCGTGCCCCTGTACACACCCCTCCCTTGGAGAGTGAGCGGGACCCAGCGACTCACTTCTAATGAACACAGAGCAGTACAGCAAAAACAATGGGTGTCTCTTCCAAGATGAGATTGCAAAGGGACTATGGCTTCCATAACTTCTCTCGCCCTCTCTCTTGATTGACCTAATGGCAGTCGGTTGCTTCTCTATGGAGAGGCCCACGTGGCAAGGAACTGATATCTCCAGCCAACAGCCAGCAAGGACCTGAGGCCTGCTGACAGCCACAGGAGCGAGCCTGCAGGCAGAGCCTCTCCCCACCAAGCCTTGAGATGACAAAAACAAACGTTGTTTTCAAAGTCAGAAACAATCATCCCTAAATATATCACAGTGTCTTACCAATTTCTCCCAACTGGGGCTTCTGCTTTAGACCATTTGGGTCCGACAGAATCACGCCATGAATGTGATGGGGTTTCCGTGCCAGGTCTGCACACGTGGGACATTGTGCACTCCAGGCTTCCCTGCAGCAGCCCACGGCATCCCCATGGAGAGTCATAACACCAAACTCTGGGCTAGAAACTGCGGATACCCGAATTCTGGATTCTCCTGCCCATTTGCAACACTCTTTCCATCCCATGACTAAGACGACTGAGTCATAAGCAATAAGAGCTTTGGATGTTTCAGCTAGTGGGAGTGGTGGGGGTGGGGGGTGGGCCTGGCTTTCTGTGCCTGTTGCTTTTCTTCTCTCACCCCTACAGCCTGGCTTCTAAACACCCAGTAAGTATTAGCTCCTCCATGTACATCCCCAAAGTTGAGCAGGAACAGGGAAAGGAGGAGAAACTGAGTCAAGCCACTTTCCAGTTCAGGCTCATGTCAAAGGCTTTAATAAGCCTGGGGTAAGTGCCTTTGCAGATTGTCTGTGTCTTTCCTGGACCCTGTTCCTGGAGGAGGTGATCTCGGTTCTAGGCAAAGCCCTGAGGGCAGCACGACCGGATATCCTTTTCTTCCCCCCACCAAATAGAAAAGTCCTAAGAGAAGAAACTCAGCAAATAACACACATGTCCCACGCCAGTTTCGCTCCGGAAAAGAAAGTCACTTTAATAAAAGCAGCTGGGCAGACGCTGAAATTCTCTTTCTGGAACCTTGGTTGGGACTTCTGCTTCTTCTTGGGCCACCTACAGACTTCAGAGGTAGCTGAGGACAGAGGAGCAGCAGTGGTCCAGCGGCCACCTGCTACAGAAGCCTTGGCTTGCATCAAAGGCCTGTCTCAAAGGGCGTCTCCAGGATACAGGCGTGTGACGCACACAGCAAGCAGCATGAGCCCCCCAGGCTGCTGGCTGAGCCCTCTTTGCTAATAATAACCTACCAACCGCGCAATTAAACTGTGAGCACATTCCAGGGACTCGTCAGGATACCATACATTTCTGCCCCCAGAGCTCCTACTGAGAATTGCACTCAATTCAATTTCGAGTTGAGATTGGCTGACCCAAATCAGGTGCCCAAACCCCAAGCTTGCTGAAAAGGGCCCCTTTCCCTTCCCTCTTAGGATAACATCACCCTGGACACCTCTTTGACCTCCGGCCACTTACTGCCCTGATTCCAGCCTTATGGCCCAGAAGAGCCTCTTCATCTGGTCAACCAAGAGGTCGGCACAGCCTGGGACAGATCTGGCCGGGACAGAGCTGGTCATTCAACACACATTTTCTGAGCTTCCAAGGGATAGATTAAAACATGCTAGGTGTGGAAATGCGTCCTGGGGGTTGGATGCAGCCCTCTCCTTGAGGTGGTCTGGGAGGAGACAGAGGCCAGACACACGCAGACGTGGGAAGCACAGGAGGCTCCCGCCCAGCGCGTGGGGAGGTGCAGGAGCAGCTAGGGCTGTCTGAGAGGTGGGCACGGGAGTGTTTAACTGGGGAGAGCGGCAAAGGGCAAGGAGGCAGGACTCTTCTGGAAATGGGTTAGGATACAGATCAGTGTCAGACTTGGGGTCCCAGTCCTTGTTCTGCCACTTACGTGCTCAGTGGCCTTGGGCAAGTGACAGCCTCAGGCTCAGTTCTGTCCCTCCCCAAACAGAGACGATGCTACCTCCTCCTGGGGGTGGTGATAACAATGAAATGGTTCGTGCACAGCTCTCACACAGCGCCTGGCTCGTCAGGAGCGAGCACCGAGGGCGTGCGCCGCACACTTGCAAGCACGTCACACGATCGGAGCTCACGGGGGCCCTGTGACCACCCTGGGAAGTGGGCGGGGCAGGTTTACATTTTTCTCATTTTACAGATGAGGAAAATAAGGCCCGAAGATGTAAACAACTGGTTTGTTTTGGGCTACAATGCAAATCTCTCAACTCCTCAATTTAGTGTCCCCTCCCCAGTAAACATTGTCTTGGATGGTAACGGCTAACGTTGAGTCCGCTGCTTAGCAAATGGAGGCCACTCATTAAATGTGGACAGCCTCACTGCCTCTTTTGGGGGCCAGGGAAACGGAGGCCTTGGTGGCTCAATCACATGCCTGGCCTCAGGGAAGGACGTGGAAGGCATCAAGGGAAACTGCCACCTTCAGCCCCCTCCCTCCCTCCATTGGCCAGCTCACCGTGGACACTTTCCTGGGAAGGGAGCGTTGCCAGCCTCACACTCCATCCAGGAGAATGAGCTCCAATAAACAGCCAGGGGAAGGAATGAACGCGGCAGCACCTGCTGAGCCCCCCAACACCTTGGAGGTGGGTTGTGGGGGTGTGGAGGAGCTTTGGAATGATGTGTTCCCCCCACTTTCCTTGGTGTTTATATTTGGCAGCCAAATTCTTGAGGGCTTCATCACATTTGGTTCCTGCTGACTTAATAATACTCTGAGAAAGAACTCCCTGTCACCTGGAGAGGGACTGCCAGGGGCGGGGTCCACCCACGGTGGTGAGGCAGGTGTGAGGCCACCTCCAGCGCCCGGGCTCATTTGTCCCAAGCTGCCGCCTGCCTGCCGTTTCCTCCTCTCCCGCCCTTATTTGGAGCCCCTGACAGCTGAGCCACAAACAAGCCGGGGGAGCTGGGCAGAGGCCAACTGTCACCCTCTGCTTCCCTGCACGGGTCCCAGCGTGGAGGAGAAAGAATCCTGAGGCGCGGCAGTGAGATAACCAAGGACTCTTTTTTGCCCTTCTCACACCTTTGAAGTGGGAGCCTCTTGAGGCAAGTCAGCAAGAATGTGGCTCTTGCAGCCGAGGGTCTGGGGGGCCGCTGGGCTGCCCAAGGCGGAGGGGCTGCGACAAGCCCTGGTGGACTGATAACTTTAAAAGGGCATCTTCTGCTGGCTCCTCACTCAGCCGCTTTATCGCTGCAAGTGACAGAATGGGGAGGGTTCCGTCCCTCTTGCGTACTCGGGGAGCTGGGGGGCTATAAAAAGAGGAGGCGCTGGGCAGCTGGGAGACAGGGACGGATGAAGGCCAGGAGAGGGAAGCCAGAGGAGAGGGACGAGAGGCAGCAAGCATCGGATCGCTCCTTGGCCAACGCCAGCATGGCCTCCCTCTCCACCATCACCGTGGGCTTCCTCCTCTTCCTGGCGTTTCAGCTCCCAGGTCAATCTGAAGCTAATCCCGTGTACAACGCCGTGTCCAACGCAGACCTGATGGATTTCAAGGTAGGGCCAAGAAAGGGCGCACAGTCTGGGACCGGGGGCGTTCTGACACTGTGCCCATTCCTGTTGATTTTCCCCAACTCAGCGAGGCCTCTCGCTTTCCTTGTATTTCCCTTTTGTAAAGAATTTGCTGGACCATTTGGAGGACAAGATGCCTTTAGAAGATGAGGCTGTGCCCCTGCAAGCTCTAAGCGAGCAGAACGATGAAGCTGGAGCAGCTCTCGGCCCTCTCCCCGAGGTGCCTCCCTGGGCCGGGGACGTCAGCCCAGCCCAGAGAGATGGGGGTGCCCTCGGGCGGGGCCCCTGGGACTCCTCCGACAGATCCGCCCTCCTGAAAAGCAAGTTGAGGGCGCTGCTCGCTGCCCCTCGGAGCCTGCGGAGGTCCAGCTGCTTTGGGGGCAGGATTGACAGGATTGGAGCCCAGAGTGGACTGGGCTGCAACAGCTTCCGGGTAAGAGGAACTGGGACGGAAATGGGATGGGGAGGAAGAAAACTGTGGTTTTGTTGAGGGTCAAACCTTGTTAAAGGATACTACCACGGGACACCTCCAGCAGGAAAGGGACTAAGTTTATTCCCTCTGAATTTCTGCCCCAACTTGGAGGGTGCTCCATGAGTCCCAGGACAAAGCCATCTACACAGCCACAACGGCTGAGAAAATGCCAAAAGAAAAAAATTACTCCGCTAGCCCTGGGAAATTAAAATATCCACAGGGCCAGGCCACCTGTGCACTGCTGATTGGCAGTTCATGTTCCTCCAAAGAAATGCAAGATCCTGAAGGATTTAAGTGAAAGTAAATGAAATTAGCTTTAATGAGCAACTTGTTCACCAGTCCATGAAACTTAAAGGGTCTTCAGGCTGGGGTGGGGCCTGGTGGGAAGTAGCTGGTCCGTGGTTAAGTTGAGAGGTTTGGCACCGTCATGTGTGAAGCTAACTTTCCCAGTAGAGTCAGGTCTCCGAGCAGAGCCGAGTATGTTTGTGTTCTGTGTTCTCTTTGTAGTACCGGAGATAACAGCCAAGGAGGAAAAGGTGGGCCAGGGCCCGGGCAGACGGCGAGAGACTCATCCCCTGGGCTCTCTCACGCGACTTTGTCTCATCCCGTTGCCATCAAGCCGAGTTGTGATAAGCACCCAGTTCGAGCTGCAGCTTCCTGTCAACATTTCTCACATTTTATGCTAAATGTAGATACAGTGGTCTCATTGTGGCTTCCTGGCCTCTCCAACCCCATGCATTACATTTTAGGGTAGACCCTCACCTGTTACTGAAAGCCGTTTGAAAAATGAATAAACTTCAGCACCATGGACAGAAGACAAAGGCTTGAGTTGGTGTGCTTTCTTTCTTAACCCCGGGGACAGGAATTCAGCCCAACACTCCTCCTCATTCTACCCTCTGTCAGAGCAAAGAATGCTCAGCTTCTCTCCTCCTTTCATTTCTCCCTCCCTTCCTCTTTTGGCGGGGGGCGCACTCAAATTGCAGTTGTCGACCTGCTCCGCCTTGCCTTCCAGCCGCAGGAGACCAAAGGGGCATTTATTTTTAATCAGACTTGCTCACATTCAGGGCTCTTATTTACTGAAAAGGAAATTCACAAACATCTGGACTCTTCCTGGTTACAGCTACTGTAGCTTGTACTCGATAGGCAATTTTTGCACTTCCTGTGCTTTTTGGTTACAGGGTTTGGGGGGCAGCACATTTAGAAAATGAGAGTACTAACCAGATTTTCTCTGATACATCTGAGAAGGTTAGCTGCTGCAGCTAAGTGAACGGTACTTTTAGTTTTGAAAAGAGTAGGCAGTGTCGCACTTAAAAACTGCAGAAAGTAAAGAAACAGATGTTTGCTCTGCGGACAAACTGCAAGTTTGTGTGCTTTTCGTGCACTGACACATGCCTTTGGAAAACAGCCGTGGTCTTTCCCTAATTTGGGTCCGAGAGGCCTGGACTTGTATTTACCGAGGCGGGAGCCACTGGAAAAGATGCAGCGTTTTGTATTTGCTTCCGAAAAGGGAGTTCTGTCCTAGAGAGCAAACACCAGGCACTAAGGTCACCTTAAACAGGGAGCAGAGCTCTAACCTGTCTCCCCCCAGCCCTGTCCCTCCACAGACCCCACTTTCAGATTTTGTGACCCTTCAACGCCCCGCACGCCTACATGTGCTCCTTTGTGCCCTTATTTCTGCCGTTTCTTCCACCCGGGATGCCCCTTATCCCGTCCCCGAGGACATTCTCCTCACTTCCTGGCGCTCATTGTGAACGCCAACGCCACTTCTTCCCTGAAGCCTTCCCTGAAGCCACGAGCCCAGCATCAGTTAGGCTCTTTGTGGGAGGAATTTTACCTGTGACTTATGAGTTGACTTGTACGTGCTTGTGTGCGTCTGTGTACCTAGATTGCAAATGCCCCTTCAGCACTCCCAGCTGAGGCTCCAAAAATGTGAGTCAAACTGTCTTGGTCTTGCAGGGAAATGGGGAAAAGAGGAAACAAAGTGGCAATTTGCTCCTTGTACGTGAACGGATGGAAAGCGGTGGAGGTGGAGGGAGAGCTCTAATCTAATCCAATCAACATGTTCCTTACTTGGGCTTCGAAATCCCAAAGGGCAGAAAACCAAGCAGCAGAGAATGCCTGACAAGGGCAAGAGAGACGGACCTGTCCAAACCTGGCTCCTGACGTCCGGTGCTGGGGCACAGGCTGCTAGGAGGGGAAGAATGTAGCTGGGCACACTCCAAGCTGTCACCGTAACACAGGATTCTCACGGGATGGAACTGACTGAAACTGACAATTACTCATGGCAGAAAATGCCCCTGGAACTGAGAGGACACCAGGGGACAGGCAGAAGAGCCTGGACTGCCTGGGACCATTTCTGACCCTGGTGGAATGGCAGCTTGGGGCAGATCAGAGACAGAGAAAAGTCACACTTCTTGCAAAACCAAATGCAAGTGAATCGAAGCCATGGCAGATGGCACAGACAGAAGCTAGCCACAGGTCTCACCAGCTGCAGCCCAGCACCGATTTCGTCTCTTCTGGTCAGACATCAGGGGACTGTGCCTGTTAGGTAAGTTCCTAAGCACAGCACCATGAGGAAATCGTGTTTCTCCATCTGGTGCTCTGGGAGGCGGGTGCTGGCAGGAAGAGAGGCTTTCACAGGAGAGGAGCAGTAAACGAGAAGGAACAGCGCTCAAATGAAGGGAGAAACACAACAGTGGTGACTAGTGACCCTTGCTAAGATCCACAGGACTAAGTTCAGTCCTCCTAAGGTAGCTGCCCAGTAGGGGTAAGTGGACCCCGTGAACGAAGAGCCCCACTGGGCGGCTCCGTGAGGGGAGATCGGAGACTACAGAACTACTTCCTAGCGCTGCAGTTTTTACATATCAGAGAGGAAGTAAAATAAAAACCAAGAACGCTTGAAAGAAAGAGCACTGTGGCGATAAAAGGCTAAAGGAGACGGATGGAGATGTTTTATTCTGACGTGTTACGGTTACAACGAGAACTTCCAAATTCCAAAAGTTCAAATAAAAATAGCATTTTACAAATTAAAAAAAAATACAATGTATATACACAGGGATTAGCTCACATTACCATATACACAGTGCAAACAGAAAAAAGGAAGCTGCGACTATCAGAGCGACCAAGGTCCACAGGGGCTGGGGCGGGTACTGCACATCAACACTGCGGGGCGGGGAGGGGGTGGGGGGCCCTCCGGCCTTTTCAGAAGTTTTCTTGTCACCCAGGGCCATGTCAGCGCACAACTCTGCATCAGAAATGCCATCTGGTAGGCTGGGCCAAGCAAGTGTCCATTCCAGCTTGGAACCGTTAGACGAGGCCATGCGCCAATCATCCCCCAGAGTGCACTGGCCCCACGGCCAGGAGCGGGGACCTGTCAGCCCTGCTGCCTAACTGCCCCAACTGGGGCCACGAAATACCACGCTGGAGACAAAACACAGAAAACCACCTCTAGCCACCCCCAGACTCCCCTCTGGGGATTGTTTTATCGAGGTGCCTTATCACTGGTAGCCGACGGGGCGGGTTTAATAGCAGATGCTGCGAACGCTGCTTTCTACTGTACAGAGACTGAAGGAGCAAAGCTTACGGTTACTTGTCACGAGTGGAGAAGTTGCTGTCTTTGGGCTTATCTGGAAAGGGCAGATGCAGAGCGAGGAGAGGAAACCACGTGCCTTTGCAGAGGGGCCTGGGTGCGGGTCCTCCTTGGCAGCCATCCAGTCAGTTCGGGGGGAGGGAGGCATTTGCATTCTACTGTCTATCTCTGGGCTAAACTGATGGGAACAAAATATCCAGTGACTTAAACACAACACGATGTGCACGAGGGATAAGTTCCAACAACAGTCACCAGTGGCAGCCTCGAGGCAGGTGGCCAGTGACCCAGCCCTCCAGAGCCAGGGGTCCTCCTGCAGGGCATCAGCTCTGCCAATTCCAGGAAGGGGTGGAAAGAAGGGTGAAATGTCTGTGATGGGTGGTCATGCCATTCTTCTGACTTGGACGACTGGTTTCCTTCTTAATAAGAGGAAGAAAGGTGGCCCAGCTCTGAACACCACCATAAAGTAAAGCGGCAGCTCGTCGAACACGATCACATTTACAAGGGTTTTGCCTTTTTGGTCCTTGTGATCTCCTGAACTATTTACTGGGAGTATCATCCCCATTTCACAGGTCAGGTGCATCCAGGGAAACTGAGGGTGAGAGGACAGCACTGCCAGGGCCAGGCACCGAGGCAGCAGGCGACTTCTATGGTTTGAAAAAAACTAAATGCAGACCAATTGCCATCTTGAGTCCCAAAGTATGTCTGCCCCAGGGATGCCCGATGGGGCTAAGACACTCACAAACACGTAGCAGTAAGGGGAAGGTATGTGCAAATGCCTGATGCCTGGAGGCTCACTCGGGGGGCCTAGTCAGAGAGTGGACCAACCAGCCTGGAGAGAAATGAAGTCACTGAAAGAGGGGACGATTCCTACGCTTAATGCTAAAACCTGCAGGCACACGCTGGCAGGGAGCATCTCCCCCTCCCCACCTCCCTGCAGTGCGGAGACCCTCCTGAAGCTTCTGCATAGGCTGGGGAGGGCTAAGAGCAGGGGAGTGAGAGACGTCTGTGAAGGGCAGACACCTTCTTCCTCGAATCAACCATCTGCTTCACCACAACGTGTGCCTTTTAGTGGTCACTGGCTCAGGAGTTGCCTCCTTTCCATCTTGGAAAAAGCAGTCCCGTTCCCCAGGGTTCAGTGAAGCCGTTTTATCTACGGGCGCCCTGCTTTCAGCTAACTTTGGCAGGTGACGCCAAAACCCTTCGAGCTGTGGCTGTTTCACCAGGAGACAGGATAAAATCTTAAGGAAAGTTTAGTAATTCATGGAGATGAAAAGAATCAGGGTAGAAATGTGTTAATAGGAGACCATGAATACTTTACAAATGGAAAGAAAGTTGAAATGTTACAAACTAGGTGGATGGAAATCTGACCCTCTTATCACATTTATCATTCAGAGATTATCAGAGGGATTTCAATGCTTTGTGATTCTGGTGGGTAGTGGTTCTAAGGAGATTCAAACCACACCAGCAAGACCAGAACACCTGCTCACACCTAGGAAGCAGAACATTCCCTTAAAATGAACTAGAAAAGATATGGAATTAGAGTCCCAACAAAGGAAGGCCTCTCTGAAACATGGAGAATTTTCTCAGTGCCCAATTCCTAAATTTAGCCATTAACTGAATTTGCAACTGGTGCATCCCTCCCCGCCCCCAGTGTTTGCCTTGGCCAAGATCCCTCCCATACATCTACGGCAACAGCTGGGATCTCTAGGAAAGCAACAAAGACAGGGCAGGAACATTGCTCGGAGCGTCACCCAGTGGTGTGCCTGACTTCCACCTCTGGTCCTGACTCTAGCGGGGACTGCGGTGGGCCTGTGCCAACACTGGACGGTCGGAACACGGGGAGCAGGGAATGGGAAGATACTTGCTGAGGAAGTTAGGAAAGTCCAAACTCTGACGGTTCCAAACCCTCCCCAGGTTCTCTGACCAGCAAGGTGCTGGATGACTCCAGGCTTTCCAAGAGGGGGGTGACTGGTAATCTTCTGTGCAGCCCCAGCCAGCTGTGCCGGCTGGAGTGAGCGAGCTGCCTCCCCAGGCAGCCCCGGGAGAGGGGGAACTGGCCCCTCACATGGTCTGGTAGTGCTGCCTCAGTCGGGCCTGCAGAAACTCGTATGTCAGGTTGTGCCGTGTAATGATCCCAACGATCTAGGACAAGGAGAAAAAGGCCCAAGTCACCTGCAGGATAAAACCCACTGGCAAGAACAGGGGTGAGAAGAGCCAGCCTGTTGGTTTGTC